TAAACCCTAAACCCCTAAACCCTAAACCCCTAAACCCCTAAACCCTAAACCCTAAACCCTAAACCCCGAAACCCGAAACCCTAAACCCTAAACCCTAAGCCCTAAACCCGATGGGCCAGGCACGGAAGGCGGCTCCCGAAGTTCGCGGCAGCGAAAAGTCTCCGCCTCCAAGGTTCCAGCATCTTGCTGAATATGTCGGGTTTAGGGTTTAGGGTTTAGGGTTTAGGGTTTAGGGTTTAGGGTTTAGGGGGGGGGGGGGGGGGATTGGGGTTGAAAGTTTAGGCTTTGTAGGCTTTTTGGGGTTTAGGGTTTAGGGTGTGGGGTTTAGGAGGTTTCGAGGGTTTTGGGTTTAGAGTTTAGAGTTTAGGGTTTATAGGGTTTATGGGGTTGAAAGTTTAGGGTTTAGAGGCTTTATAGTGTTTAGGGGTTCAAGTTTAGGTTGTAGGACTACAGGGTATAGGGGTTATAGGGTTTATAGGGATTGTAGGGATTGTAGGGTTTATAAGGTTTATAAGTTTATTTGCTTTAAGTGTAGGGTTTGGGTTTAGGGTCTAGGGTGTAGGGTTTAGGGTTGGCAGGAAGCTGGATATGGGTTTAGCCTTATCTGGGGGTTTATCGCATTTTCGGATTTTCATTAGGACCCTAAACCCTAAATGGGGATTGATTAGGGGTTTACGGCCTATAGTGTATACTTTGGGGTTTACCCTAAACCGTAAACCCTAAACCCTAAACCCCCCTCCTCCTAAACCCTAAACGTCCTAAAGCCGAAGCCTGATTCGCTTTATCTGGTAGCTCTCGACCTTAATTTCCATGTGGGTGGGCCTTACATATGGGGGGTCGGGATGTTGCCCCTTCTACTAGCTGTCCTGAATAGGGATTCTAGTACCCCCTATTATGATCCCTATTAAGGACTGTTAGGATAAGGGGGAGCATCCCAAGGGGTTCCGAAAGTTAGGGGCACCCTTTGGGGGGGTCCCCTTAAGGGGACTCTACTCTATTTGGGGTATAAAAAGGGGTACCCCTATCTTGGGAAACCCCCGTATGTAGAAAAAAACATACGCCCTTAGAATGAGGACCCAGAAAGGGACCCCCCAATGTAGAGAACTGTTCCCAAGAGCAAGTTTGCACACTTATCGCGGGTTGAGAGCTCATGGTCCAAAGGCAAGTCGTTTTCGGAAGGCTTGCTGCGTGCGTCTGTGAAAAACCTGTTGCTAGGACCCAGAGTAGGCCAGGGTGTAGGGTTTAGGGTTCAGGGTCTAGGGTTTAGGGTTTAGGTTTTTTTTTCCAGTTCCCTTGCAAGCTCATTTTACCCAAAAAGGGCACCCATTTGTATTCCTAGGTTTCTCTTGGGTTTAGGTTGTTTTTCTCTTTCAGAGGCTCCCGGAATTCCCAAGTCGGGTGCAGGGGGTCTCAGTTTCCAATCCCGTAAAAACCTTGGGCATGACCTGCATCTTGCTACCATCTTCTACAGCCCCACAACCCTGCCACACCCCTAAACCCTGAACCCTAAACTTGCCCTAAACCCCAAACCCCATAACCCTAAACCCTAAACCCTAAACCCTAAATCCTAAACCCTAAACCCTAAACCCTAAACCCTAAACCCTAAACCCCAAACAAACAAAAACACCAAACAAACCGCGCTCCTGAGGAGACGCCTCCGGCCGAGCGCTCGCGCACCAGTCGCCGTCGGATAGAGGAGGCGAGAGCCCTCTCTTGAACGTGATCTTGGTTTAGGGTTTAGGGTATAGGGTTTAGGGTTTAGGGTTTAGGGTTTAGGGTTTAGGGTTTAGGGTTCGAAGCCCATGAGCCCCTACTGCGACTGGGTATGGGCGTCTAGGGCTTTTTGTAGCGTGCAATAGTCCATAGCATCCAAGATATGACCAACTTTGCAGCAGGTTGAGCCCTTGAACCCGAAGACTTCTTCTAGAAGCCTCCTGCTCCAACTCGATCGTTGCAACCGGAAGCCCGCGACCCACGACTTTTCGCGGTCGTCGAATGAGAGCTAACCCAAGTCAGGGCAGCCCCAGAATTCCGTACGAAACTAGGTCTGTAGGTCCCCCCCCCCCTCTTTATGCCTCCATTTCTTAGAACCCCCCGCCCCCCCACCTCCCCAGGAAACGCTTGAACCATACACCCTATTCAAAATAGAGCCACAGCCATGTATGCAACCAAGCAGTCGCTATAGAAGCAATGAACACCTAACCTCAAAGGAAGTCTCTCTCACCGCCTGGGTCACGTCTTCGGGCTTATAGGGTTTAGGGTTAAGGGTTGGGCCGGGTTGGGGGGGCACCGGACTTGCAGTTTCAGGGTTTAGGGTTTGGGGTTTAGGGTTTAGGGTTTAGGGTTTAGGGTTTGGGGGACTTTCTACTATCGGCGACACTATAGGTACATAGCAGGTACCCAACAGGAACGACAATTGCGGATGGTATGGCCCTCGTTTCGGGTGCCTGTCCGCTAGAGGGCACGGCGCTCCGGTTCGGAGCACCTAAACCCAAAGAACAAAAACACAAACCCTAACCCCTCCCCCAACCCTGAACCCTAGAACCCTAAAAACCTAAAGCCCTAAAGCCCTAAACCCTAAACCCTTAACCTTTAACCCTAAAACCTAAACCCTAAACCCTAAACCCTAAACCCTAAACCCTAAACCCTAAACCCTAAACCCCGCCCCTGGCCCCACGTATGTGTGCCGTGGCTAGGCCTCCTCTCCACAGTCGGCGCACCTTCCGCCTGAGGTGGCTGAGGAGCTCCAGGTCTCCGCGGTTTAGGGTTTAGGGTTTAGGGTTTAGGGTTTAGGGTTTAGGGTTACAGGTCTTCGCAGAAAGAGTTTAGGGTTTCCGGTGTTTAGGGTTTAGGGAGGTTAAGGATTTTTGGGTTTAGGGAAGTTAGTGAGCTTCGCGTTTATAGGGTTTAGGGAGTTTCGGGTGTTTGGGGTTTACAGGGCTTTCAGGGTTTACAGGGTTTACAGGGCTTACAGGGCTTACAGGGCCTACAGGGCCTACAGGGTTTAGCGTTACAGGGTTTAGCGCCTACGGCGTTTAGGGTTTGCAGGGTCTAGTGAGCTTAGGGTTCACAGGGTTTTTGGGTTTGGGGTTTAGGGAGTTTAGGGGTTTAGGGTTTAGTTTTGGAGTTCAGTGGAGACTCTTTGGATCTTGCTAAGCTAGAGGAGCTGGGAAGTCGCATCCTGTGGTTTGCCAACCCTGTAGCCGGCGCTCAAGATGAGTGTCGCTGCCAGCCTAGATGCTGAGGTTTTCACCCCCAAACGGCCTACGGGCTGCGCATGCTTCGCGCTTTCGGACGAAGTCGCATCCTGGAGCCGTGGAGTACAATCCCAGATTTGTCGTCAATGTTGACGGCAGTCATGTCATCTGTCAGCCGGCACATCACGCGCTAGCACTTCTGTTCTACGTCGAACGATGCAAGCCGAACCCTACACGCCACCCGATGGGCCCGATTGGCGGCGCGGGTTACCGCCGCCTACATAGAAGGTTTTTGTCAGCGGCATAGTCCATGTCGTGTGTGGGCGGATTGCCGATTATGTGGCTTATGGGTTTCTTGTGGTGTAAAGAGGCCAAATCTGCAAAAGAAAACAAAGCGGAAGGTTAAAAGGGTTTAGGGTTTAGGGTTTAGGGTTTAGGGTTTATGGGGTTTGCAGAGTTTGTAAGGTTTTGGGGGCACCCGAGGCTTAGGGATGCATGCAGCCTGTTGCTTCTGATGGTTTGGGGTCTAGGCTTTAGGGTCCAGGGTCTCTTTATGTTAAACCTATACTCGAAGACGTATCAACATACCCCTTGGGCATACCCCTTAAAAGAAGTTAAGGGGTGTGGCAAAATCCTTCCTTATATTATATTCATATTCTCCATTTATAGATTAAGGGGTATGGGTTGGGGGCATGTTGAGTTTTGCTTAGATATACCCGAAACTCTGATTTTTGTGGTTTAGGAAGTATAGGCTTTGGGGTTTAGGATTTCTCCAAACCCTATACCCAAAACTCTGATTCCTATGGTTTAGGGCATAGAGGCTTTAGGGTTTCGGGTTCTCTTAACCCTATACTGCCCTCTACCCCTAAAGTCTATAATTGCGTCGTAAACTAGTGTTCGGGGCCGGGGCCTCTCACCTCTCTGCCTTCAGCCAGGAGTTATCGGGTCTAGGGTTTAGGGTTTAGGGTTTAGGGTTTAGGGTTTGGGGTTTAGGGTTTAGGGAGGCCGGGTGTATGGGGAGTAGGAACCTAGGGTGCCTTAGGCAAGCTTAGGAGCTTTAGGGGGTAGTGGGGAGCATGAGGGAACCTTGGGTTACATACCCACCTTGAAACCCCCCTCCCATAAGAACCCTATAATTGAGCCAGGCAGAGCTGGACGAATGCTTGGACACCATCAAGCAGAGAGCCTGGAGGGCGGAGTGGGTTTCGGGGCATTGCTAAACCCTAAACCCTAAACCCTAAACCCTAAACCCTAAACCCTAAACCCTAAACCCCTAAACCCTAAACCCTAATCCCTAAACGAGCCTGGAGGGCGGCTTAGGGTGTTGGGGGTTAGGACTCAGGCGTCTGAAGATGGAAAGGTGGAGTTGTCAAGCTTGCATTCGCAGCTAGCACCTGGGCTCGTGTGCTAGGGTTAGGGTTTAGGGTTTGGGGTTTAGGGTTTAGGGTTTAGGGTTTAGGTATTTGGCGCTATGGTTCCGAGATCTAGGATTCACGGGGCTGTTGTGTGTTTCGGCTTTTCGGCTGTGATTTTTTCGAAGTTTTGTTTTGAAAGGCTTAAGGGTTTAAGGGCTTAGGGCTGGGAAGGTGAGGAGGTCTAGTGGGTTTAAAGGTCCATTGGGTTTGTTTTGGGCATGTTATGGGTGGCTGAGGGCGTAGATCTTATAACTCTAGTGAAATGTTGGGTTTAAGGGTAAGATATCGGGTCTTGAGGTTTAGGGCGGTCGCATGGGCTTCTGCGCCCGAGCTTGCAACTGCAGCCTGCCGATAGGCTCAAGCTGCCCTCTTGCCACGGACGCGCGCCATGAACGTGAGGAACGTGAACATGATGCCCTCGGTTGCGATTGGAACCCTAAACCCTGAACACTAAACTTCCCTAAGCCTCATGCCCTAAACGGAGGGGGGGGGGGGTTGTTTTGAAGCACGGCCCATTTGGGAGGGAGCGGGGTCGCTGTGACGAAGCCGAACCCGTGACATCTCAATGGAAACCAAGGCAGAAAACCCAGTTCCACTTCACGCCACAGCAGCAGCAACAGCAGCAGCACCCTCGGTTGCGATTTGCAGTCCTCATGCCCAAATCAGGCGTTGTTTGGAGGCATGGTTGGGGGGAAGGGGGCGGGGGGGGGGGGGCGTGATGATCAAAGGATGGCGTCAGAAGGACGACAGCAGCCCTCATGCCAATGGAAACCAAGGCAGAATGCCCAGGTCAACTTCGTGGCACAGCAGTTGCAACAGCAGCACCCTCGGTTGCGATTGGTAACCCGAATACCCGAATGAGGGGTTGTGTTGAAGCATGGGTGGGGGGGTTCGAGGTGTGTTTCCAAGGGCAGTGATGATCAAAGACTGGCACAAGAAAGTAAACAAGTGACAGCAGCACTCAAAATAACCCACACACCCAAACATGGGGTTGTTTTCAAAAGTAGTGGGGGGGGGGGGGGTCAGTCTCAAAGCAGCAGCCCTCAAGCAGCAGCTCTCAAATCCCTTCTGCCCATTTTTGCAACTGCCAGGTGTTGCTGGAGTCGTGACCCGCAATACTACGCAAGCCCGAGCCCGTGACATCTCAATGGAAACCAAGGCAGAATGCCCAGGTCAACTTCGCGGCACAGCAACAGCAGCACCCTCGGTTGTGATTGGTAACCCTAATCCCCAAATGAGGGTTTTTTTGAAGCAGGGGCCGGGGTGGGGGGGGGGGTTCGGGGTCTGTTTGCAAGGGCAGTGGGTGGCACCAAAAGGTAAACAAGTGACAGCAGCCCTCAAGTAACTCACATACCCAAATTTTATTGGGGTTGTTTTCAAAGGTGCGGGGGGGGGGGGGGTCAGTTTCAAAGCAGCAGCCCTCACGCAGCAGCCCTCAAATCCCTTCAACCCTTTTTTTGCAACTGCCACGTGTTGCTGGAGTCGTGACCCGCAATACTACGCAAGCCCGAGCCCGTGACATCTCAATGGAAACCAAGGCAGAATGCCCAGGTCAACTTCGTGGCACAGCAGTTGCAACAGCAGCACCCACGGTTGCGATTGGTAATTACCCCGAATACCCGAATGAGGGGTTGTGTTGAGGGGTTGTGTTGAAGCATGGGTGGGGGGGTTCGAGGTGTGTTTCCAAGGGCAGTGATGATCAAAGACTGGCACAAGAAAGTAAACAAGTGACAGCAGCACTCAAAATAACCCACACACCCAAACATGGGGTTGTTTTCAAAAGTAGTGGGGGGGGGTCAGTCTCAAAGCAGCAGCCCTCAAGCAGCAGCTCTCAAATCCCTTCTGCCCATTTTTGCAACTGCCAGGTGTTGCTGCAGTCGTGGCCCGCAATACTACGCAAGCCCGAGCCCGTGACATCTCAATGGAAACCAAGGCAAAATGCCCAGGTCAACTCCGTGACACAGCAGTTGCAACAGCTGCACCTTCGGTTGTGATTGGCAACCCTAATCCCCAAATGAGGGGTTGTGTTGAGGCATGGGTGAGGGGGTTCGGGGTTTGTTTCCAAGGGCAGTGATGATCAAAGGCTGGAACCAGAAGGTAAACAAGTGACAGCAGCCCTCAAATTTCTTCAGTTTTTGTTGCAATTGCCAGGCGTTGCTGGTTTCGTGAGGCCAAAATACCACGCAAGCCCGAACCCATGACATGGCGATTGAAGCCAAGGCAGAATGACCAGGTCAACCTCATGCGGATGCAGCAGCAGCAACAGCAGCGGCTGCTGCAGCAGCAGCAGCAGCAGCAGAGTGGGGGCTTCAGCCTTGCTCAGCTGATGTCGATGATGTCGCGGAAGGCCCCCAAGCATGCTAGGTCTTGGGCTTCTAAGCCCATGTCGAAGAGTTCCTAGGCTCGTTGTAGAAGCACTTACCCGAATGCCTCAAGCTAGAAGGTAGGAATCCGGAACCTGCTTGGGGTGATGAGGTTGAGGTGTACGTGAATTCAGTACTATCTACCCTGGAAGCCTGAACCCTAAGTGGGCCATTACAAGAACATGGTGCAGGAGCTTCAGCTTAATTTAGTTGAAAATATATCATCCCGTTATACATTTTATCTTTCGGGATGTTCCCTCTTATACTAGCCTTCCTGAACAGGGATTCTGTTCCCCTATTCTAATCCTTCTTAAGGAGCTGTTCGCATAAGGGGGAACATCGCCGTACTTTTCATTCATAACACACACCACTCCGAGATTCGGGTGTACCTTCTTGGGGTCCGTATTATTAAGGGAATCCTACTATTTTGGGGGGGGTCTAGATTCGGGGTCCCCTATTTTCCCTAAACCCAAAACCCAAAACCCTAAACCCTAAACCCTAAAACCTACCTTTCTCATGCACAATACCACTCCGGCATGGCCCCAAATGCATCCTCGGCCCACCCCCTCAGGCTCGTCTCGACATGGGGGGAGGGGGGTTCTTACTAGGTGTACCGGTTTTTGAGGGTTCTTTGAGAAGGATAATCTAGTAACTAGTATTTGGGGGTTCCTGTAGGAGGATTCTATAGTATTCCTTTAAGGCCCTTGGGAAATTCCATATTTTTCCCTTATTGGGTTTAAGAGGACCATATTTAGGAAAATTTTTCAGAGGGTTGGAGGGGCCATCCTAGCTTAATAGGGGTCAGGGGTTCTTTGAGAAGGATGATATGGTATTTTGGGGTTCCTTTAGGAGGATTTTATAGTATTTTGGGTTCCTTTAGAGGGATGATATAGTATTTTGGGGTTCCTTTAGAAGGATTCTATAGTATTTTGGGGTTCTTCGAGAAGGATAATCTAGTATTATGGGGTTCCTTTAGAAGGATTGTATAGTATTTTGGGGTATATAAGGGGTACCCCCCCCCCCCCTTTTTCGGAAGCCCCCACATGACAGCCAATGGCCCCGCCCTAAACCCTTGGTGGCCCCCAGTGGTACCCTTTTCCCTTTCTTTTCCTCTGTTCTCTTCTAGGTTCCCTTTTCAAGTAACCCACCCGCCAAAAAGCGTACTCTTGTTGTATCATGGTTGCGGGGCTACCAAGAACCAGAAACCGCGTTTCCCGAACCCAAACCCCTAGACCCTAGGCTCTAGGTCCTGAGCATTGCCGGGCTAACAGCTCACGCCACGCTGCTCCCAGAAACCATAAGTGGGTTTACGCAAATCGCCACTTGCGTCCCTAAATAGTAGGATTTCCTGATAATTGGGACCCGAATAAGGTACCCCTAATTTCGGAAACCCCCATAAAACCTGAAGGTCGAATTCGAAGAAAGACCCACAGTTTCTTGGCACGGAAGGGGGGGGGGGAAGGGTTAAGGTGCGGAGGGGATACATTCCACTAAACCTCATTTGAACAAGTGTTCCGGGATCTAACCCCAATCCCTTGAGAGAGCTGTTTGGGCTAGAGTTGAAGGCGGTTTGCCCTCTTTTTGTTGGAGCCGTGTCCACAAGCTCCGCACCTGAGCACTTTTTGTTTTTGACCGTGCAGTCGGTTCCTCAAGCTATTGCAAGACCCTTGACAAAACCGATTCAAGACACGTGCTTTGGAAATCATAGCTATATCTAAAATATGCTAAAATGCAATGAAGACTTTGACAGTCACCTAGTTATCGTAGCGTATCGTACCATATGATGATGGCATATGATGGCTACCCGGAAAGGTGTAGGATGTAGGATATTCTGATTTCATGGGCCCCTACTTGGAGGTTCCTGGGTACTGTATCACCCCAACTATACCTGTACTTTAAGCCCCCGAAGTCCTCTGAGCAGATTATAAGTCGACTTGTAATTGGCAAGCCGCCTGTCCCGGGGCCTAGGGTTTAGGGTTTAGGGTTTAGGGTTTAGGGTTTAGGGTTTAGGGTGCCTTTTCCATAGTGCATGCTTTGCTGTGTTTCGCGAGCCGAAGTGTTGAGCCCTGGGGCCTTCTGTTTTAAATTGGGGTTATAATCCTACACCCTACACCCTACACCCTAAACCCTAAACCCTAAACCCTAAACCCTAAACCCTAAACCCTAAACCCTAAACTCATGAACCCTCCAAGTGCAGTAGGCTCTTTCTTGCGCAGGCGGATCTGCTGCAATACGCGATGCCCCAGTCGCTCCTCGGGCCGCAGACCGAGGCACGGCCACAAAGTTCGGGTGCAGGGTAGGGGGTTTAGGGTTTAGGGTTTAGGGTTTAGGGTTTAGGGTTTAGGGTTTAGGGTTTAGGGTTTAGGGTTTAGGGTTTAGGGTTTAGGGTTTAGGGCTAGGGTTCAGGGTTGAGTTCAGGGTCTAGGGTCAAGGTTTTAGGTCCTAAACCCCCTAGACCTGCCAGATGCCCTAACCCCGGTCCCCTAAACCTCCAAAGTCCATGAAAATCCTCAAATCCCCTCCTACACCCAAGTCCCCTAATCCCCCCAACATCCCTGGACCCTCAACCCTCAACCCTAAATTCCTCACGGCCAGAAACTTGGACGCTCAATGGGAATGGAAAGACCAATCCTACCCCAGCCCCAGGGCAAAGGGGGGAGCCGGGGTGACCCCTCGTGGGTAAGCATTTTGTGCTTGCGTGCAACAGGGCCCAGCGCTCCAATAACCGTCCAGCACTGGCTCGGCAACATAGGGGACCGCCTCTACCTGGAAGAGTGCCCCGGTACTCCGGTGCCACTTTAGGGTTTAGGATTTAGGGTTCAGGGTTTAGGGTTTAGGGGAATGGAGGCTCACGGGCGGCGTACGAGGCGCGCGGTCCGGACCTCGTCTGGAAACTAACGTGGCAAGGCGGCGACGAAGGGCACAGGAGTGGACACGCTCCAAAATGGCCGAAGAGTATTCTTCTTAGGTTTAGGGTTTAGGGTTTGGGTTTTGGGTTTAGGGTTTAGGGTTTAGGGCTTTTCGAATTTCGCCCCCCCGCTCCCCGCCCAAAGTCAGCAGTATTTGCATAAATGGAGCCCGAAGGATAGAGCAAACAAAAAAAGCAGATGCCATGGCCCAAAATGCCCTCAACCTTCAAGCCCTCTAAGCAAGGCCTCAGCCCAGAACCTTGGCTCTTCTAGGGTTTAGGGTTTAGGGTTTTGGGTTTAGGGTTTAGGGTTTAGGGTTTAGGGCTTGGGGAGCTTTAGACCCAAGGACCCTGAACCCCTCAACGCTGAGCCCCCATTCAGGCGTCAGCTAAATAATCACTCCAGGGATCAGGGGGCTTGATACATAGCCTGTGGGATGATCCCCCTTATACTAAGAGTCGTTAGTAGGGATTCAATAGGGGGTACCTTTGGGATGTTCCCCCTTATACTAAGAGTCGTTCATGGGGATTACAATAGGGGCTACTAGAATCCCTACTAAGGACTGTTAGTAGAAGGGGGAACATCCCAACATAGCCCCGTCGTCCGCAGGAGCAAGTGTTGACCGGAAGCTTGGAGTATGGTTCAAGGGGTTTGACAATCTTGCACGTAGAGGCAATGCTGATACCCGCGAGGTACCGAACTGTGGCTCCGCATACGCTGTTTTGTGGGGAATATGCTGTAGTTTGCAGGGCTTTGGGTTTACGTTTGTGGTTCCCTTCTTCTCACTTTCTTATATATATATATATTATATTCTAGATTATATATTATAATATAAATAAATAAATAAATAAATAAATATATATATATATATATAGATATGTCCTCGTTGCGTGCGATGCCTATAGGGTCCAGGATCCAGCACGCTGATGCGGCACTCTCAAACCCAAGCCACATAACCCTCCACCCCACGCCCCACATAAACCCCAAAGCCCTAAAGCCTAAACTCCTCAACCCTAGAGCCCTAAAATCCCAAAACCCTAAAGCCCTGAAACCCTAAAACTCAAATCCCTCATTCCCGCCCTAAACCCTATAAACCCTAAACCCACCAGCAATGCCAGCAGGAGCCTCCTTCAGCACCTGCCGAGCTCCCCGTCGCATCGCTGCAGAAGCTCCGGCAAGGGGCACCATGGCCGACCGTGGGGGGGGGGGGGGGGTAGCATGGACCCTTCCTCCAAAGATCCCTAAGGGAATGAAAGGGTCATATTAGGAGAAGATTAACGGAACCGTTAGGGGTACAACCTTAGGGATGCGAGTCTTCATCCCTTGAAACATAGGAGCCTTATAATTGATTTGTTTTTATTGGGGCGGGGGGGGGGGGGGGGGATTGTAGTATATTTTTTTAAAGGGAGCATAAGGGAATACCATTAGTAATGGTTCCGACCCCTATGTTAAGGGCTTGAGGGGGTTTAGGGTACAGGTCTTAGGTTTTTGTTAGCAAGCGGGAGGGTGTATTCACAACGGTTGAGGGGCTTTGGGAGGTTTAGGTATGGGTTGTCGAACAAACGTCCCCCTAAACCCTAAACCCTGAAAAAAGCAAGGGAAAAATAGAAATAGATAAACACCCTAGACCCTCCTCAGGATCGCGCAGCTGTTGAAACAGCCCTGGACGGCCTGAGAAGCCGCGGCTTCGTTTGGGTGAATTTCGAGGAGCCATGCAAGGGTTTAGGCTTCAGGGTTCAGGGTTCAGGGTTTAGAGTTTAGAGTTTAGAGTTTAGGGTTTAGGGTTTAGGGCTTAGGGTTTAGGCTTTAGGGTTTAAGCCCAAATCCTCCAAGCAGGTCGCAAGTCTCTTGCTTAAGGGAGGAGCCTGGGGGCCTGCATTGAGGAGTTTAAATAAGGAAGCTCAGGGTTTGTGGTTTGGGGTTGAGGGTTTAGGGTTCAGGGTTTGGGGTTCAGGTTGGCAGTTCTTATTCCTGGAGGGCTTTCGGAGGGTTTCTAGGTTGGTTTTTTCTCACAATGAGGGTATGAGGCCTGTCTCTGACTTGGGCTTCTGGAGTTTGCAGGCCTTCTCCTTGTTTTTTCAAGGCTCCCGTATAAAGTCGGCAACCGCGGCAACCCGCAAGAAGGGTGCTCTTATTATAATCTGGTTATTGGGCTACCAAGTCAGGGTGTCAAGGGTTTAGGGTTTAGGGTTTAGGGTTTGGGGTTTGGGGTTTGGGGTTTGGGGTTTGTAGTGTTCAGAGCCACACGGGTGGTTGTTGGGCTCACCATGCCTGGTGGCCGGGCGAGTGATGGCGCGGTGTGTTGTGCCCACCGGCAACCCAGACCTTTGGGAAGATGCAGAAGGTAGAACCCCCATGTAGTAACGAAAACGACTATTGGGTCCTAAACCCTAAACCCTAAACCCTAAACCCTAAACCCTAAACCCTAAACCCTAAACCCTAAACCCTAAACCCTAAACCCTAAACCCTAAACCCTAAACCCTAAACCCTAAACCCTAAACCCTAAACCCTAAACCCAAACGCGCTTCGGAAGAGGCTGGCCTAAACCCAGACCCTGCGGCAAAGCCCTGAAAGCCCCACAACCCCTTGAAACCCCAAAGCCCCAAGCATCCTGAACCCCTCCACCCTAAAACCACTGGCTCTAAGAATTAAGGTTTAGGGTTTAGGGTTTAGGGTTTAGGGTTACATACCCTTTGAGGGATCATACAGGGTACCTCATTCCCTACTAAGAACCAGCCAGTAGACCCCCACACCCAAACCCCGCACCGCGCCGGAAGGAGGCGGATGCCTTGAGTCAGGCCGCGGCAGCCGCACTGCCAGCTGCAGGAGCCCCATTCTTAGAGGGTGCTTGAGCTACTATTTTGCTTGAGAAGACCCCCCAAAATGTAAGATTTACAATGGTAGTCAGTATGTTGCCCTTGTAAGGATTTTTTTTTTTTTTTTGGGGGGGGGGGGGGGGTCTTAAGCAAATAGCAGCCAGGGAGGGGGGGTTCAAGGTGGGTATGTAACCCGAGGTTCCGCAAGACTCCCTGCTGCTACTCCCTAAGGCTCTCTACGCTTCCCATGAACCAGCCTCCCCTAAGAACCCTGGGTAGAGGGTTGCGGTTTAGGGGTCCATACGGGGGGTGTAGGGTTTGGCGTCAAGGCTTTGGAGTTTGGAGTTTTGGGTTTAGGGCTGAAAGCCTGTTTTGGATGCGGCTTGCAGTCGCTGATGTTTTCTAGAACGCCAGGGCTTCAATAGTTTAGGGTTTGGGGTTTAGGGTTTAGGGTTCAGGGTTGAGGGTATGAAAGCTATGTTTTACCATGAGAAGAGACTCGAATAATTAAGGGTTAGGGTTTTTGAGGTTCGCGAGGTGCCCTATGAACCCTAAATCTCAAACCCGAAGCCCCCAACCCTAAATCCGGAACCCTAAACCCTAAACCCCAAAAACCCTAAAACCCAAAGGCCTCTGCTCTTCGAGGACCCTACAAGGCAAGCTCTCAGGCCCAGAAAAATGCCCACAAGCACTGCGCGTATGCGCCTTTGGAGATCTGGGCATCCGAAACCCTAAACGCTAAACGCATCCCTAAACGCTAAACCCTAAACCCTAAACCCTAATACCCTAATACCCTAATACCCTAATACCCTAATACCCTAAACCCTACCGCACTTCGGACAGAGGAGCCTTCCTAGCGGAAGCTGGGGCGTCCGGCAGGCCTCATGCCATGCAAGGGCATTTCAGTGCGGCCCAGAAAGACGGCTTGGGCGCCCAGCTTTGAGGAGTTTCCTTCAGCTCTATCCAAAGGCTCCTATGTGGCACCTTTTTGGGGTAGCATACTAGAATCCCCTATGACTAACCCCAAAAAGGAACTACATTGGAGCCTTTGGGTAAATCTTCTTGGTAGCCCAGTGGTACTCGTTACTTTGTTTTTGGTTCAAGGGTTCTTAACAAAGGGCTTTTTTGGGTACCCTTACTTTAAGATATGGTTTCTGGGCTACCAAGTCTTATAGGCCTTTCACACACGGTTTTTGATTGGAGGTTAGAGGCTAAGCAGGAGCTCGGGACCAGAGGTCCCGAGGATCCCAATCTACGAGCTCATGTGCAGGGCTTAGGGTTTTTAGGGTTTCAGGCTTTAGGGTTTTGGGTGTGGGGTTTACGGCTTTAGGGTTTCAGGGTTTTAGATGTATCTGAGGGTAGCGTCACGGGCCCTTAATAAGGTCCCCAACCTCCTTTACAAATCTTGTTTAGGGTATATAAGGGGTACCCCCTTCGAGGGCCCCTACTAAGGGACCATGTAACTACCTGTGGAGGCTTCGGGTTTTAGGGTTCTAGGCTGTAGGTTTTGGGGTTTAGAGCTCTAGGTCTTTAGCGCTTTAGATGTAGAGCAGGGTGGGCGTTAACTTGCCGCACGCGCCCGCTCAGCAAAAGTCATCAGCTGCTGAGCAGCAGGCTGAGCAAAGCTATAGTGTCGGTTTGAATAAGAACGGAAATCGTCACCTTGCAGTAAGATCGTTAAAGTGTTACACGTGTGCCGTTTCTTCTGCTGAATCTACTGCACGCCTGTCGCTCATAACTTCATTCGTGTGCAAGCATGATAAACACCATCATGAGGGTGGCTCCCTACTTTTTGGGTCCAACATATAGTACGGCACCCTTACGGTAAGAACCAAAAAGGGGCCCCTAATTTAGAGAACTACCCATGAAACTGTACGTCTAAAGCACCCGTCCTCTCGCCAACAAGGATCGGAGGACGGCTGAATGTTCCGGAGTGTTTATGGGCTTGAAACCCTAAACCCAAATACCCTAGACCCTCAACCGCAACAAACCCGACCCGTTGCTGGATTTGGGCGCTGGGCCCTTGGCATTCCGTAGTCGTGACAGAACTTCAGAAAGGAAACGGCTACGTGGGGGATCAATGTTTCCCAAGTATGTCGTACCCTAACCAAAAACCCGAGATTTGTTTGGATGGGAAACAACATACCCTAAACCCTAAACCCTAAGCCCTAAACCCTAAACCCTAAACTACACTCAAGGCCTCCGCTTCGTGACTGGTGCCTGGCTAGACCGCACGACGGGCCTGGAGACTTGGATTATGTTTCAAGTGACCGTTGAGCTTTAGGTGAAGGGTTTAGGGTTTAGGGTTAAGGGTTAAGGGTTTAGGGCTTAGGGTCTAGGGTTTAGGGTTTAAGGCTAAGGGCGTAGGGTTTAGAGAGTTCTAAGGGCTTCTGGGGGGGCGTGCTCGCTTCGTCTTCAGGCTTGAGCTAGTGCTTCGAGTTTGGGTGTGGAGCTAAGCATTCCATTTAATGCTTCGGGTTACTGCCCTCCTAGTGTGGCCAAAGATACGAAAACCTGAAATCGAATGTACCCTTATCCCACAAGCCAAGACATTTTTCCGGCCGGAACCTTACCCTACAAAGGAATCAAAGCAGGTACCCCGTAAGTCAAAGCGGACCATGTGGTTAACCCCAACACGCCTACACCCTAAAGCCTAAGCCCTAAACCACCTAAACCCCCTAAGCTCCCTAAACCCCCCTAAACTCCCTAAACTCTAAACCCCCTAAACCCCCTGAACCCCCTTAAACCCCCTAAGCCCTAAACCCCCTAAGCTCCCTAAACTCCCGAAACTCTAAACCCCCGAGGCAAGAGGCCACCACACTTAAGAAAACAAAACCTAAACCCCCTCAACCCCCTAAACCGCCTGAGCCCTCTAAACCCCCTAAAGTCCCTTAACTCCCTAAGCCCTAAACCCTCCCTAAACCCTAAACCCTCAACACTAGACACTAAACCCTGAACCCTAGACCCTAAACCAGACCCCAAATCCTAGACCCTAGAGCCTATTAACCCTAGACCCTGTGAAACCCGAAGCATCCGAGGAGTCGGTGCAGGCTGAGACGCAGGCCGAACGGGGGCTTTAGGGTTTAGGGCTTAGGGTTTAGGGTTTAGGGTTTAAGGTTTAGGGAGTTTAGGGTTTAGGGTTCAGGGTTGAGGGAGTTTAGGGGGAGTTTAGGGAGTTTAGGGTTTGGGAGTTTAGGGAGTTCAGGGGCTTAAGCTTTGAGGTTTCGTGTTTAGGGGTTTAGGGGCTCTTGTGGGTCGGATTCATGGCCTAGGGTTTGGGGTTTAGAGTTTAGGGAGTTTAGATGGCTTAAGTTTGGCCTTTTGTTGGGGCCTAAGCCCTAAACCCTAAACCCTAAATTAAACCCTAAAATAAGCCCTAAACCCTTAACCCACTGTGGGTTAGGGGTGCAGGAGTTGAGGAAATGCAGGGCTTAGGGGGTCATGGGATGGAGTGCCTTCCAGGAGTCTTCAGCTCACGGGCTCGAATTTTAGGTTTGGGGCTTAGGGCTTGGAATACTTAGGTTTGGGGTTTAGGATTTAGGGTTAGGGTTTAGGGTTTAGGGGAAGGTTTGGGGTTTCGGGTTCAGGGTGGGTATGGAGTTCGAGGAGGAGGTACTTGGCGTGTTTTTTTGTTCGCTTGGTTACCCTAAACCATTTAAGAGCCTCCGGCTCAAGCCGCCGAACCCGCAAAAAGGTTTGGGGTTTGGTGATTTTGTTTGCGGTCCTGTTGGGGGGGTGGGGGGGTGGGGGGGGGGGGGTGGGGGGCGGGGGGGTGGGGGGGTGGGGGGGTGGGGGGGTGGGGGGGGGGGTGGGGGGGGTGGGGGGGGTGGGGGGGTGGGGGGGTGGGGGGGTGGGGGGGGTGGGGGGGTGGGGGGTGGGGGGGGTGGGGGGGTGGTGGGGGGGGTGGGGGGGGTGGGGGGGGGGGTGGGGGGGGGGGGGGTGGGGGGGTGGGGGGTGGGGGGGTGGGGGGGTGGGGGGGGTGGGTGGGGGGGGTGGGGGGGTGGGGGGTGGGGGGGTGGGGGGGGGGGGTGGGGGGGTGGGGGGGTGGGGGGGGGTGGGGGGGTGGGGGGTGGGGGGGGTGGTGGGGGGGGGGGGGGGGTGGTGGGGGGGTGGGGGGGGGGGGGTGTGCGGGAGGGGGGGTTTTTTCGAGCCCTATGCACTGTGCGAAAACGCCTATGGTCCATGAGTTTTGGGGGCTGGTTCCTCCACGGAAAAGCTGGCGGGGTACCCCCCCCTACCCCCCCCCCCATTTTGGGGGGGAAAGGACCTTTTCCCATCCAACACGCCGCCAGGGTCGGCGGATATACCCTACACCCCAAACCCTAAACCCTAAACCCTAAACCCTAAACCCAAAACCCTAAACCCTAAACCCTAAACCCCAAACCTTCTTCATCCCAGGCACAGCTGAAGAACCTGGCAACGCAGTTTGATCGTGCGCAGCGCTTCGACCGCATGTGGGGTGACCCATGGATTGAGGTTCTAGGATGCCCAGCCGTGCCCCTATTCCCCTTTTTTGGGGTTTTTGTTCCCTTATAATGAACCCAGGGTTTAGGGTTTTGGGTTTAGGGTTTAGGGGGTTGTTGTTCCTTATAAACCCATTTCAGCAACAAAAGGGCACCTTTCTTAAAAAAAAAATCCCAGGTTACTGGGCAACCTAGGGTTTACGGGGCGTTGGGACAACAAAACAGAGTCTTCCCATCGCACATCCAGGCAGTGCTGCGGGGTCAGCACTTGCGATGCAGGTCCATGGGGATGTTCCCCGATATTCTGGCAGTCCTTAATAGGGGCTACAGTAGGGGGGGGGACTCTAATTCCCTACTAAGGAGCTGTGAGTATCAGGGGGAACATCCCAAGTGAGAACTTTCGATGCAAGTCCAGCACAAAACCTGAGCCTACAAGTTTGGCCTGAAACCGAAGATCCCCAAGCACGGCCCAAACCCTGAACCCTAAACCCCAAACCCTGAACCCTAAACCCGAAACCCCAAACCCGATACCCTGAACCTGAAAACCCCAAACCCTAAACCCTAAACCCTAAAAACCCTAAACCCCAAACCCTAAACCCTACACCCTAAACCCTAAACCCTAAACCCTAAGCCCTAAGCCCTAAAGCCCTAAGCCCTAAGCCCTGCTCTCAAGCAAAGGCTTGATATCGTGGCAGCCTTGGGCCCCACGATGCTGCAACTCGATTGCTTTTGTGCTGGTTTATGGATTAGGGTTCAGGCTTAGGGGTTAGGGTTTAGGGTTTAGGGTTTAGGGTTTAGGGTTTAGGGTTTAGGGCAGTATCTTGTGGGCCTGTGCGGGTTCAGGCCCGGCTCCCCTAAAGCTTTATAGGCTTGGTGGGTGCGGGGCCCAGCGTGCCCAGTACACCATGTCCGTGACAGGTAGGGTTTAGGGTTTAGGGTTTAGGGTGTAGGGGGGTTTGGGGTTTAGGGTTTAGGGTTTGGGGTTTGGGGTTTAGGGTTTGGGGTTTAGGAATATCCGGCAAGCAATGGTAGCTGTACATGGTCACTTCTCCAAAACATGACCTCACTTCCTCTAAAAGATGGTTGCTTCTGTGCTCCTCATTCTAAGGCGGCCCCTCTTTTTTAGGGTATCCGACAAGGGACCAGAACTTAGCGATTTGACCATATGGCTGCGATCCAAAAGGTCCAGGCTACCTAGCAGGCCCAGAAGCCTTTTGGCGACCTTTGTTGCAGCCGTTCTCTTCGTGCCCCCCGGCCCCCCCCCCCCCCCCGCCCCCCCCTCACTACGGCGGCTCTTTGATACAGGTCCGCGCCGCGACATACGTATGAAACAAGGGGGCGTGACATCGGTACGTAGCGGGGGAAGGACACCGCGACATGCCCCTATACCTTGGGGACGAAAGTTTGAGGGTTTGGGGTCTAGATTTCTCTCCAGGGGTCTTCAGGCTGGTTGGCTTTGACTTTGCAGCCTGGGTTTAGGGTTTAGGGTTTAACGTTTAGGGTTTAGGGGATAGAGTTTAGGACTTAGGATTTAGGATTTAGGGTTTAGGGTTGGAGAACCCAAAAGTTGTAATCCTACAAAAAACCAACTCACCAAGTGCCCTTACCCTTGAACGTGGGCTGAGCTGGGGTAGAGTTCATGCCTGCAGGGCTTGTGTGGGTTCGTTGTAGGGCTTATAGCCCTAAACCCCAAACCCTGAACCCTCTAAACTCCCCGAAGCCCCACACCCCTAAACCCCAAAGCTCCCAAAAAAACCTAAAACCCTAAACCCCAAAGCTCCCAAAACCCTAAAACCCTAAACCCTAAAGCCTAAACCCGAAGTCCCAAAAGTTTCGGGCTGTGGCACCCCAGGAGAGGCATGTACCGAGAGAAGCTCTCAAACAGCGAGGTCGTGGAAGAGCCTGGCCAGCACAGAGCTTTGTGACAGGTAGGGTTTAGGGCTTCAGGGTTTTCGGGCTTTAGGTTTTTTGGGTTTTAGGGCTAGGGGTTTTGGCGTTTTGGGGTTTCTCAGGGTAGCTATATGGGGCCGGGTTGTATAGGGTATATAAGGGGTATATAACGCGTCCCCGTGTAAGGGCCCGTACTAAGGGACCATGTAGCTGCTATGTAGCTACCCTAGGAAAATGCATGGTACGTACCGCATGTCGCACTTTTTGGGGTTTCAGGTCTATGCTTTTGGGCTTAGGGTTTGGGGTTCACGGTAGGGTTTCGGGGACGTCCCAGAAACGAAAGCCTCACTCTGCAGGTAGGCGTCTATGTATAGGCGCTTGGGAAATGTTTTGATTTATCCTTTTTGGGGTTTAGGATTCTATTTCGGATGATTTTCAGAGGTTTCTAGGGGCCGCCCCAGGCATAGTCTAGAACTAGGAAGGTTCGAGCGCTAGCGCCGTGCCGGTTGGCAAGATGGCAAGACTAGTCGCCCCCCTGCTTTCGGAGGGGGTCGGTTGAGAGTTTAGTGTCTGCGGGTTGATCTGTAGGGGTTTAGGGTTCAGGGTTTAGGGTTTAGGGGTTTGCAGTGTAGGGGTTTAGGGTTTCGGGAACCCAACCCCTGAAAGCCTCAAAGCTCTACACACCGGAAACTCTCAACCCTCCAAAGCTCCCCTAAGCTCTCAGCCCTAAACCCTCAACCCGAAACCTCAACCCGAAACCCTATAAACCCTTCAAAACCCTAAACCCAAGAGCCCTCAGCACTCTCTCAGAAAGTTGGGGAGATCTTCGACATCCCCTTGCTGCAGCCCGCACCATGGCCTTTCTTGAGGAGCTTCGGTCTGGCGCATTATGTTGGGGAGGGGGAGGGTTTGGGGTTTAGGGTTTAGGGTTTAGGGTATGGGTAAGGGTTTAGGGTTAAGGGTTTAGGGTTAGGGTTTAGGGTTAGGGTTTAGTGCTTGGGGCTTAGGGCTAATTATGAGGGCAATCTGGAGGGCAATCTAGTCTAGAACGGCTTCCAGGCTGTAGGTTTGCAATGCCCGAAAAGACCGAAACTGAAGCCAAAGAGAAAGCTTGTTCGGAAAAGGGTTCAGGGTTTAGGGCTTTAGGGTTCAGGGTCGTATGCGCAAGACGATGCCGCCATTGCCTGTGCCGGGTGCAGTATTACGCAAGAGGCCTTGAGCCCCCCCCCCACCAACACCCGGAATCATCTGAGCTGCACGTCGTGGCCTAAGAACCGAGCATGGTCGGCTCACCTCGGACGGTGCAAGGTTAGGTTTTAGGGCGATAATTACATTAGGGCTAGGACCCGGAGTAGGCCCTTATTTGTTTTTTATGGGTTGGGGTTCCCTTTTCATCCCCTCAAAACCAAAAAGGGCACCCTTTTTATTCCTAGCTTACTCCTGGGTCTAGTAATAAGGGTGTCAGGATTTAGGAACCCGAAACTCTAAGCTCTAAACCCAAGAGCTTTATGAGTTCTCGAGGCGCAGCAAGGGATGACTCCGTATGGGCTGCTGGACGTCGTGCGCTACAGGAGCTGGCGTGGTTGAACCTCTCCGAGGGTTTCATGGGAAATCCGAGCATATTGTAGGGTTCTTAAGAGGGTAGGTATATCGGGAACCTGAGGGAGTAGTGGGGGTAATTACTAGGGAACCTTGGGTTACATACCCCCCTTGAACCCACGTCCCTTAAGAACACCTAGAAGTACGGTAGTCCCACAAGATCCCAACCTGAAATGCGGTCTTCAGGTTTCACTAGGGCTTAGTAACCCTAAACCCTAAACCCTAAACCCCAAACCCTAAACCCTAAACCCTAAACCCTCAGGCGCAAACCCTAAACCGCAGATCTAGGATTTAGGGTTCAGGGTTTAGGGTTTACGGTCGAGGGTTGACACAACCTTAAGCCCCAAAGCCCTCTCCATCGCAGGATGGGGGCTGAGAGTCCTGAAGAAGCTACTTGACGCGGGTTGTGGGGCTTTCAGGGGGGGTTAGGGCTTAGGAGGTTTAGGGTTTAGGGTTTAGGGTTTAGGGTTTAGGGTTTAGGGTTTAGGGTTTAGGGTTTAGGGTTCAGGGTTCAGGGTTTAGGGTTTAGGGTTTAGGGGGTTCTGGTGGCTTAGGCGGCTGTAGGGGGCTTAGGGTTGGGAGTTTGGGGCTTAGGGCCCTACTTGATGCAGGTTGTGGGACTTTAGAGAGGTTGTAGAGGTTTGGTGGCTTAGGGTGCTTTAGGCGGCTTTAGCCCTAAACCCCAAACCCGAAACCCTAATCCCCTTAAAGGGCGTTTATAGGGGCTTAGGGTTGGGGGTTTTGGGCTACTGGGCGGTTCATAGTACTTAGGAACCCAATTATGACTGCACCTATATCCCAACTATAGCCCTTTTAGGGTACCTAAGGGGCTTATATGTGGGTTATAACTACACTTCTACATGGGTTACCCTAAACCCTGAACCCTAAACCCTATTCGGTTTCTAAGTAACCTGAACCTCCAAGTAAGGGGCTCAGTGCATTTAGAGGTTCAGGGTTTCGGACGGTCGGTCTCCGGGTTCAGGTTTGCCATTACGGCTGGGGGCGATAAGGCTTGAAGGTTACAAGGGGTCCTCAACCCTAAACCCTAGCCCTAAACCCTAAACCCTAAACCCTAAACCCTAAACCCTAAACCCTAAACCCTAAACCCTAAACCCTAAACCCTAAACCCTAAACCCTAAACCCTAAACCCTAAACCCTAAACCCTAAACCCTAAACCCTAAACCCTAAACCCTAAACCCTAAACCCTAAACCCTAAACCCTAGCCCTAAACCCTAAACCCTAATCCCACGCCCAGCGTGCCCGGCATCTTGCCCGCTTCACTGGCCAAGGTCGTCGCTGCACACGCCGATCCCGGAATCTCCGCTCCAATGGTGGGTTTGGGGTTTCGGATTTGGGGTTTCGGGTTTAGGGTTTAGGGTTTCGGGTTTAGGGTTTAGGGTTCAGGGCTTAAGGTTCCGCATCGCGATCGCAGGAGCCTAAATAGTTGCCGAAAAGTACTGTTCTCTCTCTCTCTCAACTACCCCAAACCGCCTAGAGATTTTGTTTCAAAAGCACGTTCTGATCTTTCAAGCTGTTGAAAGCCCGTGTTTCGAGGAGCCCATCATGAACTTTAGGGTTTAGGATTTAGGGTTAGGGTAACCCTTAAACCATAAACCTGAAGCCCCGTTCAGTCCTTTAGGAACCCTTCACATCCTTACCCCGTGAATGCAACCCGAAGACTCCTGCAATTTCCTAAACGCCCTCTTCTAGCCCTGCACATCCTATGAGCCCCTGTGCTATAGGGGTCAGAATAATTACGAATAGTATTCCATTCTGGTCCCTAGAACAGAAGATTATGATAGCCCCCAAAACCCTATTCTCATTATTGAGACCCCTTTTGTATGCCCTCATACCCTATAATCTCTTAACAGGCCCCAAACCCCAAACACCCCATACTCATTGAACCCCAAACCCGAAAACACCCTAAGCCCCAAACCCCAAAACAGCCCAAGCCCTAAACCCCAAATCCCTACACCCCCAAATCCCCCAAAACCCTAAAACCCCACAAAGCCCTAAACCCGCAAATCCCCTAAAACACTACAAAGCCCCAAAAACCCTACAAAGCCCCAAACCCCAAACCCTAAACCCTAAACCCTAAACCCTAAACCCTAAACCCTAAATCCTACAAAGCTCCAGGGCTTTTTATCCTGAGCTTGCCCTGTGCCTCCCCGGGCCTGGAGCTCCGGGTCGGGCTCTCAGGAGGTTTAGGGTTTAGGGTTTGGGGTTTGGGGTTTAGGGTTTAGGGTTTGGGGTTTAGGGTTTAGGGTTTGGGGTTTAGGGTTTAGGGTTTAGGGTTTGGGGTTTGGGGTTTTAGGGTTTAGGGTTTAGGGTTTAGGGTTTAGGGTTTGGGGTTTGGGGTTTGGGGTTTTAGGGTTTAGGGTTGAGGGTTTCGGGTTTAGGGTTTTAGGGTTTAGGGTTTCGGGTTTAGGGTTTATGGTTTAGGTTTCAGGGTTTCGGGTTTAGGGTTTTAGGGTTTAGGGTTTCGGGTTTAGGGTTTCGGGTTTCAAGGTTTAGGGTTTAGGGTCTATAAGGTTTTAGGGCTGTGGGGTTTGAAGGTTTTGGGGTTTAGGATTTAGGGTCTATATTATAGGGTTTTAGGGTTTAGGGTCTGCAGGGCTTTTGGGGTTAGGGTTAGGGTTTATAGGGTTTTAGCGTTTTGGGGTTTTAGGGTTAGGGTTTAGGGTTTAGGGTCCATTGGGCTTTAGGGTTTAGGTCTTTAGAGCGTTGGGGACTGTAGTGTTTGGGGTTTTTGGTTCAGGGTATACCACGCTTTTTTGTTATGGGGGCGGAGGGGGGATGTGTTTCTTGAGGGTTTAGGGTCTGAAGGGCTTGGGATTAAAGGGCTCGTAACTCTTTTGACCCTAAACCCTAAACCCTAAACCCTAAACCCTAAACCCTAAACCGCAAACCCCTTCGACAGCTCGTGAAACCATGATTCCCCAAATTTCGATAGGGTTTAGGGTTTAGGGTTTAGGGTTTAGGGTTTAGGGTTTAGGGTTTAGGGTTTAGGGTTAAGGGTTTAGCAACGACCAATCAAAGACAGAAGCGCATGTAAACAACAAGCACAGTCAAGGTACGAGACAGAAGGCTAATCAAAAGACTTATAACTAGGATGCCCAGTAGTAGCCTTATTCCCTTTTTGGGGGGTTTAGGTTCCCTTATAAACCCCTTTAAGCAAAAAAGGGCACCCTTTTGAAGAGATAAACCCCTAAACCCTAAGCCCAATCATATTTTTTTGGCACCCAGGGCTCAGGGTTCAGGGTTCAGGGTTTAGGGTTTAGGGTTTAGGGTTCAGGGTTCAGGGTTTAGGGTGAATGGGAACAGCAGAAGACGAATATCAACCCTCATATCGAATACACAGAAGAAGACCCTAGGCCCTAAACCTTAACCCTAAACCTTAAACCCTACAACCCTAAACCCCAAGAACCCTAATTATAGACCCTAAAACCCAAAAACACCCTATAGACCCTAAAACCCTAAACAACCCTTTAGACCCTAACCCTAAACAACCCTTTAGACCCAAAAACCTTAAAACCCTACAGACCCTAAAACCCTAAAACCCTACAGACCCTACAAACCCTAAAACCCTAAAACCCTAAACCCTAAACCCTAAACCCTAAACCCTAAACCCTAAACCCTAAACCCTGAACCCTACACGGTGAGGACGAGTCCATGGGTTGGCGCTCGCCCCCGGCTGGCCTTGGCGTCCTCTGGGCCGGGGAAGCGGCCGTCGGGCCGTCGCGTATGCTGAAGACTGGCCGGGAGGGGCCAGGGGGAAGCCTCGGGGTTTAGGGCTGACCCTAAACCCTAAACCCTAAACGCTAAACGCTAAACCCTAAACCCCAAACCCCAAACCCCAAACCCCAAACCCTAAACCCTAAACCCTGAACCCTACTTCTCCCCTACCGGGGTTCTGCAGAAGGGGAGGTGGCATTGAAGAATGCAAAGGTGGGGTTCGGTTTTGAAAGTTGATTTTGGGGGGGGATCTCCCAAAATTAGGCTACGCATTTTAGGGTTCGGGTTCAGGGTTTTGGGTTTAGGTTTCAGGGTCGGGGTAAATAAGGGCCATCCTTTGTTTTAGGAAATGCACATTTAGTATGTTCCGAGCTCTTTGGGGTGCAGCTTTGGGGGCCTGCAGGAGGAACCGTCTCTGCTTCCACTCCACTGTTTTCGGGTTTAGGGTTTAGGGTTTTGGGATGAGGAGCCATAGGCGGGGAATGGAAGAGTCAGGCAGGGTAAACGCTTCGGCTACGGGTTGCTTCCGAGACGCCATGAAAGCCTGAAGCCACCAGAACCCTGAACCCCACGGAAATTCTAAACCTTAAAACCCGAAACCCGAAACCCTGAACCCTAAACCCTAAACCCTAAACCCTAAGCCCTGAATCCAAAGCAGCCTGGGAGGCATTCACCGCGTCCGCGCGACGCCTGACAGGCCAGGTCCATAGGGAAGTGACACCTCAGGTTGCATAAGGGGTCCATACGGGTTTGGGGTTTAGGGTTTAGGGTTTAGGGTTTAGGGTCCATATGTATGTAGATACAGGCTCCCAAAGTAAGGGCCCATACTGAGGACCCTTGGAACCCCGTGAAGATTTAAGGTTGTAGCGGCTTGAGGCTCTGAATGTGCTATATGGTCATTTCTCCAAATTATGGTACCCTAAATAAGAGGGGCCGCCATATAATAAGGAAGTGACCACCGTAAACCTTCTACCCTAAACCCTAAACCCTAAACCCTCAACCTCATATGACCTTGACTTGCTCGGACAGCTGGTCTAAAGACTCTTCGAGCTCCCCGGGCGTCCAGCCCTTCGGGGCTTGAGGGTGTGCCCGGAGGGTTTGGGTTTATAAAGGGATTGGGGTCTAGAGTTTCGGGTTTAAGGGTGGAACAGGGATACCAAAAGCTACAACTGGCAGGAGTCAAGCACTCTAAGTCAAACTACGAACTTTTCAGTGTCAAGCAACTGGGAAATTAGGTTGTAAATAGGGTACCCAAAGCCCAAACTGTATTTCGACTCGTGGCCGTGAAGAGTCTTTTTCTTTGGGTGAGTCGTTAAACCATTTCGAGCTGCGGTTTAGGGTTCAGGGTTCAGGGTTCAGGGTTAGGGTTTAGGCGACTTCTTTTGTTGGTGCCTCCCGACGCTCCCAAGCCTGCAAGCAGCCCTTCTTTTGGGGCGCCTGTGACCAGTCTTGTGGCCCACAAGTTTAGGGTGTAGGGTTTAGGGTTTAGGCTTTAGGGCTTGTGTCTTAACCCTAAACCTCAAAACCCCAAAACCCCAAAACCCCAAGACCCCAAGACCCCAAGACCCCAAAACCCCAAAACTCCAAAACCCCAAAACCCCAAAACCCCAAAACCCCAAAACCCCAAAACCCCAAAACCCCAAAACCCCAAAACCCCAAAACCCCAAAACCCAAAACCCCCAAAACCCCCCAAACCCCAAAACCCCCAAAACCCCAAACGCCCTAATCCTAAACCTCAAAACCCATAAACACCACAAAACCCAAATTCCCTAAAAGCACAAAAACAAAAACAAAAACCTGAAGACCCCAAAACTCTAAATCCCAAAACGTCCCAAAACCCTAAAACTCTAAACGCCCAAAAACCCAACCCCCCCAACACCCTAGGCACAAAAGCCCTAAGCTCCTACAGCTCACCCTAAACCCTAACCCTAAACCCTAGACCCTAAACCCCAAACCTTATTTCGTAAACCCCTAAGTTTCCTAAAGCTCACGGCAACCCACAGGTCCCCACGCCTGTCGGCATGGCATGAGCTTTGCACACGCCGCGTGGCTCAGAGCCCTAAACCCTAAACCCTCAACTCTAAACCCTAAACCCTCAACCCTCAATCCTAAACCCTAAACCCTAAATACTTCATCTTGGGCGGCTTCTTCTCAAGTGCTTTCATGGCCTGAGGAGGTTGTCTTGTTGAGGGCATGAGGTTATTGACAGTAACGGGTTTTCAGGGTTTAGGGCTGAGGGTTTACTGGAGTTTGCTTTGTTGAGGGTTTTGGGGGGTTTAGGGTTTAGGGTTTAGGGTTTAGGGTTTAGGGTTTAGGGTTTAGGGCTCCCAGCCGCACATCAGTCTCCACAGAAGGGGTTTCCAGTCAAAAGCCCAGTGGACGGAGCACTCCGGGATCCGGTAATGACCCAGAGAGCCCAAATAAAATACCGCCTCAATGCAGGAATACCCTTAAACCATAGAAAGGATCCCTATACAGACAAAGGAATATACCTTAGATCAGAAAACGGATCCCTACATAAACTGAGCTCGATTTCTTATTGTTTCGGGCTCCGCTGGGGAGCGAATGGCGAAGCTAAAGGCTGTTGGACCTTTCACAGGGTCCGGAACTGCACCCAAAGCCTGAACAAAAGAGCCCTTAAACCCTGTGCCCTAAGCCCTAAACCTCTCAACGCTATTAGCCTCAAAACCCTAAAACTCTGAACCCTAGTACCCTAAACCTCTGAACCCTAGTAGCCCGAAACCCAAAACCTCTCAAAGCGAACTAGCCCTAAACCCTATTCCTCTCAACCCTAGACCCCGAAAAGGGGGGGTCGCAGGAGCCCAGCTGTGTCCTCCCATGTTCCAAGCCCTGGAAGAGAACGGGATGGAGTTGCGGAGCCTGGTCCGCATGTGTTTTAGGGGGTACAAGCTTGGGGTTTAGGGTTTAGGGTTTAGGGTTTAGGGTTTAGGGTTTAGGGCTCAGGGTTTCGGGCTCAGGGTTTAGAGTTTAGGGTTTAGGGTCTAGAGTGCAAGTTGGGGGGGGGTTTGTTCCAAAGGTCCTTTCAAAGGGATGGATCCAAGGGAAACGAGCCCCTTAAAAGCGGGGTCTTTATGAGAAAAGGGGGCCACCTACCTCTATCTTGGGGGCAGGTATGTTGAACAACAGCCACGTATGTACCTTGGGTCCACAAAAAGCTACTTTATGGAACTCCCGGCCCCACGCCCGCGTTCCCTGTTGAGGGACTGGGGAGGGGAGGGTGTAAGATTTAGAGCACCCCAATCATGAAACATCTAGGATGACCTGAAAGTAATTTTGTTGCTGTGGCGGGTGAGTATGGTAGGGTTTCGGGTTGAGCGCTTGGGGCGGCTAAGGTGGGTTGAGGGTTCATGGTTTCCGGGTTTTGCGCCTGTGCCAACACTTTTGCCTTGCGAAGTCTCATGCGGTTGCAACCTTAAAGCTTAAGCTTCAAGCTCATACCGTCATCCCAAAGAGTGGCGATAAACGTTCGCGGAGTAGGCTGAGGCTTTCCGTAGCCACGGCACGATATCTGCTGTTTAGGGGCTCGGCCTGCGCCCACCTCCATCACCCACCTCCATTTCCCATAGATTAGGGTTCAGGGTTTAGGGTTTTTGAGGCTACCAAGTACAGGGTTTGCAGTCTCCCAAACCCTAAGCCCTAAACCCTAAACCCTAAACCCTAAACCGGAAGCTCTAAACCCTAAACCCTATGCCCTAAACCCTAAGCCCTAAGCCCTAAACACCAGGTTGGGGGACCTGCGCGGAACAGATGCAGTGCTGAGGCCGGGTGTCCTCTAAGCCCTATGACTGCGCTCCTGCCACGTTAGTCCCAAAACCACCCTTTGGGGTTTTGGGGTTTAGGGTTTGGGGTTTAGGGTTTCGGGTTTCGGGTTTAGGGTTTCGGGTTTAGGGTTTCGGGTTTAGGGTTTCGGGTTTCGGGTTTAGGGTTGGGGATTTGGGGTTGAGGGCTTAGGGTGAAGTTTAGCTTAGAATCCCACAAAAGCAGGCAGGAGGTAGGTTGTGGGTTCTTCGAGGTGGGTCCTGAAGCAAGTTGGGTCGAAACCTGGTGAGGCGTGCACGACCCTCCAGTCCTACATTTGGTAGTTGCCCTTGTGGGAGGTTCTGCGTTCCCTTAGAAGGTAACCAACACCAAAGAAGGTTTAGGGTTTAGGGTTTAGGGTTTAGGGTTTAGGGTTTAGGGTATACCTCATCACAATGTGGTTGCTGGGCTAGAGTTTAGGCATAAGCTGCGCATGTGAGAGAACAGTGCATTGCGAGCGCCCACGGCAACCGCTAACGTTCATTGCCCCGCTTGCTTGCCCCACTTGCCAGCCAACCTACAGAGACCCCCTTCAGGGGAGTATACAGGGTTATTTTCTGAACTTTACGAAGAACTAGCAGGTTTAGGTTAGGGAGTAGGAGTTAGGGGCTCTTTTCTCCTGTTTTTGCACTTGCCTGAACCTAAACCCTAAACCCTAAACCCTAAACTCCCCGACTCCTGAACCCCGAAGTGTCCCTGAGACCCCCAGAGTTGGCCCTTCTTCCGTTGCTTGACCTAAGGCTCCCCCACAAATTCCACCCCATGTTTCACTCTCTTAAACCCTAAACACCCCAAACCCTAAACCCTAAACCAGGCGAAAAATTGAAAAAAATGAAAAAACTAAACACCCTAAACCCTAAACCCTAAACCCCCGCCCAAGTCCCTCTATAGAGGCAGCTGCAGGCCGCGGAGGACCGGACCTTTGGAAATCACTTGAGCCCCCTTTGAGGGGGTTTAGGGTTTAGGGTCTAGGGTTTAGGGTTTAGGGTTTAGGGTTTGGGATTCGGGGTTTACGTTTTAGGGTTTAGGGTTTAGGGTTTAGGGTCTCAGAATAGGGTTTAGGGTTTGGGGTTTGGGGTTGGGGTTTTTTTGCGCTTGAGGCCCAACTTGCTAAGCCCAAGATGTTTGGGATCGGGGTGTACGGAGTCCCTGACTGGCCAGGTAAGACCTGGAGATACGCCTGACCTTCCCATATTGGGCATGTGATGTAGCAATGTAGTTTCGGGGTTACTGTTTAGGGGTTAGGGTTTAGGGGTTCGGGTTTATATAGGGTGTAGGGTGTAGGGTTTAGGGTTTAGGCTTTCGGGTTTCCTAAATGAAGGTTCTGGCGGGCCCGGGTAATTCCTGGGGAGGGGGGGAGGGGGGGGGGGGGGGTGCAGCATTCGGGGAAAATCTAAGCCTACAGTAATTGGCTAAACTTCAGTATTGCAAGGGCCAGAAGCAATAAGGACGTACTTCAGGGCTCAGGGAACCTTAGCAAGTAGGTTATATCTCAGGTGGAAACGAAGGACTTATCGTCCTGTGAGCCCGAAAGCTCTAAAGCCACAAATCTAAGACGTATTGAACATCCTCCTTGGGCATACACCTTAAAAGAGATTACAGTGAGGGGTATGGCAGAATCCTTCCTCAGATTCCTTTTGCAGAGGCTCAGGGCTATGGGGTATGTTGAATGAATATAGGGGTCGGAAGAACTGCCAAAGGCAAGCTGTCATGGTCCCCTTGTAATTACAACATAGCAACCCCCAAAGCCCTGTTGTAATCATTCAGGCTCCCATATGGGGGTTTACGACAATAGGGGACCCCGAAAATCGACCCCTAAATGATAAGATTCCCTTATGGTACCCCTAATGTTACCTTATACAGGCCGGTGGCCTCTTTATCTGTTACCCTTATACTACGAAGAACCCCTCACATCACAGAAACCCTGCTTAAAGAGCCCATCAACCAACGTAAACCCTAAACCCTGAACCCTGAACCCTGAACCCTAAACCCTAAACCGCAGGACCACCGCAACCGGCTCCTGGAAGCCCAGCTGGTGCAGCGCCGCGGCGTGCCTGTTGGCAAGTCCGGCAGCCGGGACGGCAGGTTAGGGTTTAGGGTTTAGGGTTTGGGGTTTGGGGTTTAGGGTTCAGGGTTTTGGGTTTAGGGTTTAGGGTTTGGGGTTTGGGGTTTAGGTTTTTGTTTAGGGTTGTTTAGCGTTTAAGGTTGAGGGTTGAGGGTTTGGGGTTTAGGGTTCAGGGTGATGGGGATTGTCTTCCCTTAAACCCCAAAGCCCCATACCCCTCAAAGAAGGAATGTGCCTTAACTCGTATTCTGGATCCCTTGATAGATTAGGGTGAATTCCTTAATTAAGGGCCATTATGGCGCCTATGGTTCACGGTGGGCCTAAAGGAAGGGCACTTACAGGGGCTACGTAGGCGTGCTTTTGGACATCGGGGTCCTCCTAAACCCTAAACCCTAAACCCTCAAGCTTCAACCCTAAACCCTAAACCCTCAACCCTGAACCCTCCTAATGACCCCTATCCACAAGCACATTGGGGCCTCATTGGTTGGGGAGGCCTGGGTTGGGCTCAAGAGTGCCTTGGGTTTAGGGTTCAGGGTTTAGGGTTTGGGGTTTGGGGTTTGGGGTATAGGGTTAGGGTTGCTAAATGGCCCTGTGTAGTGCTTGCTGCGATACTCATGATAACGCCTGGTAGGGTACATGCCCTGTTAGGGTTCCTGTCGTCCCAAGACTCTGAAGTTTGGAAGCTTCCAACGACAAAACGTCGGCAACTCGAAAGGCGTCCGCGTTGTGGAGGAGTACGTGCCAATCCGGAGTGACGACCTGACCAGTGCCTGGCTAAGCTACTATGTGCTTAAGAACCCCCACAAAAAAAAGATATGTAATTCCCTCGAAGAATGTTTTTCAGTTCATGTGGTTTCTTCAGCAAACAGTAGAAAGTCGACCCTAAACCCTGAACCCTAAAACCCTAAACCCTCAACCCCACACCCCAAAGCCATGTTGCGACGCGGGCGCTGTGGAGCGCCCAGCACGCCATGCCATGGCAGGCTCAGGCTGACCCAAAGAGGCCACTACCCCTTAACTAAGGAAAGCACCTTCAAGGGTTTAGGTTAGGGTTTTGGGTTTAGGGTTTGGGGTTTAGGGTTTAGGGTCTAGGGATCACATGAAGGATCCCTTCAGAAATTTCAAGGTATATTCCTTAATTCAGGGGGTATGGGGCTCTTGTTGGGGAGCTGCAGTGCTGCAGCCGCACCCTTGAGGGGTCGCCAAGCTTGGTCGCCAAGCTCCGTGTCGTGTGGCCCCCCTTGGAGGGCCCAACGCTCCTGGAGGGTTTAGGGCTTTAGGGTTTAGGGTTTAGGGTTTAGGATTTAGGGTTTAGGGTTTAGGGTTTAGGGTTTAGGTTTACGGTAGTTGGCGGTCCCTAAAGGCCATAGACGGCGCGGGCCCCTGATTGCTGAAAGGGTTGGAACAAGTGAGCCAAGTGTCCCAAGTTTCCAAATCTCCCAAGGGTCCCACAAATTCTGACGTCCCAATTGTGTCCCTGTAACGCAGTTGCCCAAAGTGTTCAAAACCAGTTTTGAATGTCGCAAGTGACCCAAATGACCGAAGCGTGCAATTGTCCGACGTGACTGATCCAAGTGTCCGAAGTGGCCCGAGTCATCCAGTCTCCACGTGTCCCACGTTACCCATCCTAAGTATCCCAAGTGCCCCAAGGATCCACAGTGTCCCCGTGTCTTAAGCGTGGCCCAAGTGATCCAGGTGTGGGCTGGCTCGGGTTTGGGCTGGCTGTGAGTTGTGTTCGGGCGCTCTTGGCGTGGGCGTTTTGCGCATGCTGCTACGTGCTTTTGCCTCCAGAAGCCAAAGCCAAGAGTCAAGGTGACATGAGCCGCTTTATGCATTTCAAGACGAACGTCTTTCTGCAGGGAGCTTCGGCAGCAGCGTGTTGTTGGCTTTGGGGTGTTTAGGGTTTAGGGCTTCGGGGTAGCCTTTAAGGGGTTTTAGGGTTTCGTGTGAGTCTAGAGGGTGTAGGAATTGGGGGATTTCCGCCTTCAACTGTACTTGAAGGCTCAGGGACCATAGTAAGCAGGTTGTACGCCAGTTTGCAACATGGTTTTAAGAGCCTGCTCACTTGCGTCTCTGAGCCTTGAAAGTAGAGATTGGGACTGGTCTCACCCGACTTTTCAGCCCACATCAGCCTAAAAACCCCAAAACCCTAAACCTTAAACCCAAAAAGGCTAAACTCTAAACCTAAACTTCTGTGCTTAGAGGGTTTAGGGTTTAGGACGGGCCCGGGTGTTTCGAGTCCCTGCAGGCTTGGGTGCGGAGTTTGCACACTTTAGCATTCAGGGTTTAGGTTACCCTAAACCCTGAACCCTAAACCCTAAACCCTAAACCTTCCGAGCAGGACCGCCACCACCTGGTATGGTCGAGATCGTGAGGAAGCAGGGCGGGGCGATGGAGATCGATGGTTAAGGGATCCCTTTACAATCCCAGGTTACTGAGCATCCTAGATAGTTGCTTAGGATTTGGTGCTTAAGCTGGTTTTGCTTGGGCAGGAGCTTGGATGTTTGCTCGCCGAAGGCAGCAGAACTCTTTGTTGGCAACCTCCCAGGTTTCTGCCAGGCCCCCAAAGCATGCTTGAACGATTCTCTGATGTCGGGGCTTAGGGTTTATGGTTGAGGGTTTCAGGTTTAGAAACCCTAAACCCTAAACCTTAAACCCTAAACCCTACTTCCAGCATGCGCCCCGGAGAGAATCGTCAAGTGGGTCATGTACAGTTGGCCGCCGCTGTGGAAGAAAAGAGTGATCCTTGGTTCTCAACCGCACACCCTAAACCCTAAACCCTAAACCCTAAACCCTAAACCCTAAACCCTAAACCCTAAACCCTAAACCCTAAACCCTAAGCTATCGTTTTGAGAGAATAGGAGTCGCTTTTGAGCATAAAGGGAAAACTGTGGGAACCCCACAAAAGGGGAAAAAAGGTTTTTCTGGGGGGAAAAGAGGTCCTTTTTGGTTCCTGTATATACGGCGTTTACACCAAAACACATGAGAGCTGCCCATAGAGTACTTGGAGGTTCATGGGTACTAGTGAACCCCAAATATGAGTCTACGTATAACCTACTTAGAGGACTTCGGGCTTATAAGTACAGATATCATTGGGGTAACAAGTACCCATGAACCTCGAAGTAGGAATTACTTATATCCCATCGCGTTTAGGGTTTAGGGGGGTCTAGGGTTTAGGTTTAGGGTTTAGGGTTTAGGGTTTAGGGTTTAGGGTTTAGGGTTTTGGGTTTTGGGGCATCCCGATGGCTGTGCCTCGCTTTCGTGCGGCCCAGGTGGTGTGCAAGCTCCGTCACTCGCGACAGTCTGCAGGAACATGCTTTGCCGCTGCCGTTCAGGGAACCCTAAACCCCAAAGCCCTAAGCCCTAAACCCTAAACCCTAAACCCTAAACCCTACACCCTACACCCTAAACCCTAAACCCTAGCCCTAAACCCTAAACCCTAAACTTGAACCCTAGACCCTAAACCCTATACATAAACCCTCAACCCCACCGCTGCCCAAGCAGATTCCCGGTTGGGCTTTCGCTGGAAATTCTACACACAAGATTGCAACCGTTAGTTGTGCATGTGGGGGTTTCCGAAAATTGGGGGGGGGGAGGGGTTATCTTACTATTTGGGGGCGGGGGGGGATTATTGGGTCCCTTATTTTCGTAAACCCGCCATGTAGGACTTTCAGGAGCCCAAATTCAGAGCGCGCGGAAGGGGTCCATGCTTGAGACCTTTTCATGGAGGCTTAGGGTTTAGGGTTTAGGGTTTAGGGTTTAGGGTTTAGGGTTTATAGGGCTTAGGGCCTCCCCTCCTCCTTAAGATTCAGCATCGCCACCCAGCCCCTAACATTCAACCTGCCCATGTGTTCTTCACTGTGTGTCCTGGGGGGACTTAAAGTTCGAACTAAGCCAGGAACCTGGACGCCCAAAGCCACTATAGGGTTTAGGGTTTAGGGTTTAGGGTTTAGGGTTTAGGGTTTAGGGTTACATCCCAGATGGGCAGCTTTGAATTCCGCGAGCCTTATTTTGGCTCCTGGACAATCTTGGCCTCTGCATTACAAAGGGAACCCGAAAGGGACCCTACAAACCCTAAGCCCTAAAACCCTAAACCCTAAACCCCAAACGCTAAACCCTAGACCCCCGCCCCGTCTGAGCACGCCACAGGACGTCCAAAAAACGACCAAGCCAGCCCCCGTCGTGAAAGACGTCTTGGAGGCATGGCTTTGTGGCCCATCGTGGGATGTTAGGGTTTGGGGTTTGGGGTTTAGGGTTCAGGGTTCAGGGTTTATAGGGTTTGCAGGGTTTATAGGGTTTAACAGGGTTTAGAGGGTGTATAGGGTTTAGGGTTTACAGGGTTCAGCGTTGGGGGGTTTACCCAGGTGTAGATTTGAATGCGGCGTTTCGGATGCCAACCCCGAGCACCCCATAAGCTTTTCATGGCGCCTCTTAGTTGGCTGTAATTCGGCAAATGTACTTTCAATAAGGTATATATGGGGGTTATGTCCGGGTTATAATATAGGGGAGTATAACCTGAAGGGTCCGTTCTAGGGGTCTCCCGCTATACCCCGAATACCACGGTTGTCTAGCTAAGGCGTCGGGCTTTGGCAGCTTTTGCGGCTAGGCTTGAGGTTTAGGGTGTAGGGTTTAGGGCTTAGGGTTTAGGGTTCAGGGTTAGGGTTTAGGATTTAGGGTTTAGGGTTTAGGGTGTGAGTGTATGGAGTGCCCTGAAAACATGAACCCTAAGCCCGAATGCCTGCGCCTAAACCCTAAACCCTAAACCCTAATCCCTAAACCCTAAACCCTAAACCCTAAACCCTAAACCCCAAACCCTAAACCCCAAACCCCAAACCCCAAACCCCAAACCCTAAACCCTAAACCCTAAACCCTAAACCCTAAACCCTAAACCCTAAACCCTAAACCCTAAACCCTAAACCCTAAACCCTAAACCCTAAACCCTAAACCCTAAACCCTAAACCCCAACCCTAGTTTTCATTATTTGATTACCTGGTTCCAAAAACGCGCGCCAGCGCCAAGAGTTATGCGCAGGCCGTGTCGGTCCTCCTTGGCCAGCCCGAGACAAGGTGGGTACGGTGAGAGGACAATAGGGTTTAAGAGTTCAGGGTTTAGAGTTTAGGGTTTAGCGTACTGAAAAAGGGGGCCCGGATATGGGGTACAAGTGAGGGGTTGCATAAGGTGTTCGCAGGCTATAGACCTGTTTTCGGCTTGGCTTCCGTTCTTGCTTCAGGAATCTTTGCGAGGCTTTTCCGATGCATAGGAACTGCTCTGCCGATGGGGCTTGCCCAACACCGCATCCAACCCTATACAACAAACCTTGAACCCTACAGTAGGCCCTAAGCCCTATACCCTGACCCTTCAACTCCAAACCCTGAACCTTAAGCCCTAAACCCTAAACCCTAAACCCTAAACCCTAAACCCTAAACCCTAAACCCTAAACCCTAAACCCTAAACCCTAAACCCTAAACCCTAAACCCTAAACCCTAAACTTAAGCCCCCGGGCTGTGAACCAGAAGCCTGAACCACAATAGGGGCACTCCTTTTATGCCCCTTATAGAATAGAATCCCCTAAAGGAACCGCCGAAAAAGGGTACCCCTAAACCCTAAACCCCCACAAGGACCCCCAAAAAGGTTCCCCCTCTTTTCGGAACCCCTTGAAACCCTAAACCCTAAACCCTAGCCCGAAACCCTAAACCTAAGCCCTAGCCCTAACCCTAAAACCTAGCCCTAAACCCTAAAGCCCTAAACCCTAAAACCCTCTTTTCGGACACCCCCCCCCCCCCCCCCACGTGAAGGTGGGACAAGCTCAAGCAGATGATCGCGAAGCCGCAGTTCTTTGAGAAGCTCCAGAGGCACCAAAATCTGTTTGTGGGCTTGGAGAGGGGGGGGGTTAGGGTTTAGGGTTTAGGGTTTGGGGTTTGGGGTTTGGGGTTTAGGGTGGGCCCGGCGCCCCCCCCCCCCCCCCCCCCCCCTCCCCCTAAACCCTAAACCCTAAACCCTAAACCCTAAACCCTAAACCCTAAACCCTAGATTTAGGTCGACTCTACAAATCAGAGTAAGGCCTAGCCGATGTTTCCCTAGGACAACACTCCTAAACCCTATTTCCCGATAACCCTACAACCCTATAACCCTGTAAGCCTATAAACCCCAGAACCCTAACCTATAACCTTACAAAAACCCTACAAACCCTATAAACCCTAAACACACTCAACCCTGAACCCTGTAAGCCTATAACCCTATAACCGTATAAACCCTTGTAAGCCTAAGCCTTAAACCCTAAATCCTAAACCCTAAGCCGGAAACCCTATAGCGTATATAACACAAGAAACTTCCTTACCCCCAAAAGGAATTACACTTGGGGGTCCTGGGGGCAACAGCGCAGGTCCTGAGGCCCTTGTCCTGGACGCCCGAAGCCCTCCTGAGAGCCTTATCGACCCCATGGGGTTCACGGTTTAGAGTTTAGGGTTTGGGGTTTAGGGTTTAGGGTTTGCTATGGGTGAATACAGTCAGTGTACCCTAAACCCCAAACTTTCCTACCTTTATGAAGCTGCAAGGCCCACGTTTTGTTCTGGGATATCTGCCGCTGAGACTTCAACCCTGAACCCAAAAGACCGTCAAACAAAAAGACCCTAAACCCTAAACCCTAAACTCTAAACTCCAAACCCTAAACCCTAAACCCTAACCATGCGAGGTTGGACTTCCAGCGAAGCGTCTCGAAGGAGCAGTTCAAGAAGCTGGTGGGCTGTGCGGGGAGGGGGAGGGCGGGTTCGGGTTGAGGGCTTGGGGGCTGGCTTGGGGGCTTCAGGTCATGGGGATTAGGGCTTGGGGGCGAAGGGTCATATTAGGTGGTTTTGTTTAAAATATGGTCCCTTCTGGGTTCCTTAGTATGGCGGCCCCTCTTATTTAGGGAACCCAGAAAGGGACCATCATTGGGAGAGCTGTCGTTTAGGGTTTACGGCCTAGTGGGGGTACCTTTTCCCTCCTGCCCACGGACAAGTAGCCAGTTCAGACCTTTAAGACAAGCAACCAGGCTTCGGCAAAGCGCAACGAAAGTACCATTCCCAGGTTTAGGTCGCCCTTTTGCTTTCCAGTTCAGGGTAGGAGGCATATTGATCGGGCCAAGTGTCGCCAACCAATTGGGTTGGGGCTGAGCACATCTTCAAGTTTGCATTTCTTGGAATTGTAGGATTGTTGCATGGCCCTTTATTTTGGGCGCTAAAAAGGGGACCCCTCACAAACCCCTTGTATACCCTAGGGTTTAGGGTTAGGGTTAGGGTTTAGGGTTTAGGGTTCTTGGTGATTGTCAGCAGGGTTCCTCGTAGATAGTTGCGAGTGATCCTGTGTCATGTTCTGAGTCCAGCAATGAAAGCCCTAAACCCTGCATCCGAATCCCTGAACCCTGAACTTGG